CCTTAAAACCGAACAACATAGTGGTAATGGCCTTCGACGGTTAAAAAAGAATGGTGCATGGGGAGGTGGACATCCCCATTAAAGTTGGAACTCAAACCTTTGATTCAACTTTCTACGTGATGGACATTCGCCCTTCCTATTCCTGTTTATTAGGCCGAACTTGGATTCATGACACTGGTGCTGTCACCTCTACATTACATCAGATGCTGAAATACCCAACCAAGGGGAAAATCATTACTGTCCATGGAGAGAAGGAATATATAGTCTGTTACCTGAACTCCTTCAGATAAGTGGAATTGGATGGTGAATTCATTGAAACTTCATTTCAACATTTCGAGGAAGTCCCACAAACAGTGGCAGCAACCAAGAATGTTTCCCAAGTCCCGAAGATTACAAGACCTCCACTAAAGATGTCTTCACTAAAAGATGACAAGGCAATAGTCGAAGAAGGTGGGTGTACTATTTGGGGCCAACTCCCGAATATCCCTTACAAATCTGACAAATTTGGTTTGGGTTTCACTTCAGGAGCTCAGAAAGCTGTTCGTCGTGCTCGTGCCGGGGGACCATCTTTGAAGATCAGCAACCATGGAGTCAACGCAGTGGACGATAGTGATGACAACTGTGACCTGGAAGAATGGATTTTCCCAACCATCAACAAAGGACTCACCAACTGGGAAGCTAAAGATTTTGTCCCAATTACTTTTATCCAACAGTAATTGTCTTTAAATTTTCGTCGGACTTGTAATAATTAAACAATTCATACTTTTAAAACCTTGTGTCTTACCCGAGGCATAACGGTCTATTTGTAAGGGTTGTTACTTCATTTTCATATGTCATTAATGAATCATGGACATTTTTGCATACAAACTTTACGCTCTTTATCTTTCTTTTTCTACATTTTTATTTCTTTCAAAAATAGCTATGCTCTTACACACATTCACATATCAAAATGCAGATCTACATCCACTCAGGATCCCATGGGTAATGATTCTACTATGGCCTTTTGTGACTTCGAAAATATGATTAAGCTAGTTTTTCTTGAGATAAACCGGATTATGGTTGTACTCTAGAAGACTTTGGCAGTTGTCAAAGTTGTGTTGTAATCAGTTTTGATTATTGAATTAAGTCCTCGTTTGAGAGAGGCGAAATCACCTTGGCAGGTGGACTGGAGTAGTTTGAGATCAAACTAACCAGGATAAAAATATTGTGTCTGCTGCGCTTTTGATTTTAAGTTTCAATTCAATCCCCCTTCTTGTGTTTTTCACTTCTTCACTATCCTCACAACATATCTCTCTGTCAAGGGCTGTAAAAGAAGATCAAAGCTTTAAAGATAAATTGATGGTTAGCGGTTTAAGCGTTACCATTGGCCAACAAGCTTCATCTTGTGGAAGTAAAACAGTGGACTCAGAAGATGTTAAAGTTGTAATGCTATACATACTAAAGACCACTGAAGAAGAGAGAAAAATAAAGAAGAAGAAGACTATAAGATGTTATTCAACTTCCAATCGCATACATCTTGATAGATCTCAGAAGAAGCAAGGAGTTGTTACTGTAGCTTACTCAATAAGAAGATGAAGAAGAACACTACCTGATGATACTCAACTTCTGATCATATACATCTTTGTAGAACATTGTAATGAACACTAGAGTTGTTGCTTGGATAGTGTTTTTGTTCATATCTCTTCATGTAAATTGTTTTAACACTTGATTTATTGCTCGTAGAAGTGTTAAACAATATGTGCTTAAATATTTTATGTAATCTGCTTAAAAGAAGCAACCATGTAAACACAGAAACTCCATCAACTATTCTTGATTTGTTCCTTGAGAGACTGAGTGAAGGTATGATCTCAAGAAGACAATATTTACTGGTCATTCTCAGAAATCCTGATAGGATATTCTATGGGATCAGATTATATTGGGTCAATGATTGTTATATCTGGTTGGATCACTAAACATATCATTGGAAGGTTCCTTGAGAGACTGAGTGAAGGTATGATCTCAAGAAGATAATGGTTGCTGGTCATTATAGGAAATCCTGATAGGAGATTCTAGGGAATCAAATTTTGTTGGGTTAATGATAGTCATATCTCAAAGAGGACTGAGTGAAGGTCAGAGTCTTGTGATATCACTGATGGATATCATTGCAAGGAAATCCTGGTAGGAAATCTTAAGGGACCAGATTCTATTGGGTCAATGAATGTTATATCCAGTTGGATCTCTAAATGTGTCACTGTTTGTTAGTCACCGACGGTTGCCCGTACGATTGTAATCAGTTTGATTATATTGGATTAAGTCCTTGGATTAGGCGAAATCATCCTTGCGATGGTGGACAGGAGTAGCCCAGTTAACGATGAACCTGGATAAAATTCTTGTGTCCTTTATCTTCATTATCTTTATTACTATTATCATTTGAGTGCTTAAAATTTTAATGGGAAATATTTTCTATGAACAGAATTTAACACCCCCCCCCCCCACCCCACCCCACCCCAATTTCTTGTGTTTTCTCTACCTTCACTTTGTAGTAGGAGTATGCTGAGGGCTCGCAGGGAAGTCACACTATGAAGAGATCATGTACAAAACCAACTGAAAGTTAATCGTCTAGCCAGTTTTCAAAACTTTTTTACTTGTCTACGTTTTCTGTTGTCTTACATCAGTACATTGATGATATTGTTGATGTGGGTCAAGATGGAAATTGTAGTTTCTGTGCTATTGCAGTTTTACTTTGATGAAGCAAAAAGTCTTGATCTTTGTTCGATTGCAGTTAGATGTTGAAGTTTATCAACACCATCAAATGTATTTCAATGTGTTCTATGACACATTATCTAAAGTTAGGAGTCCATTGCGAGTAGCTAGCTTGGGTGTGCAAGGTCGTGAGAAATGGAAGACACTTCATGATATGGGTTACCCTATTACTTCTAGATACATTTTCATATTGGTCTCGTTGTCCAGGAACCTTAACATCACTTTCTTCTCATTAGTGGTATCTTCATCCATATTTATGAGTAGACATAAGCTTACTGCAGCTTTATTATCAACAATCATTGGATTTAGGTGAAGTTGAAATCTGATTGTCCATTTTCTCCTGTCACTGACCAATGGTGACAGAACTATAGTGAAGGTGCAAGAGCATGTAAAACAACATACACGAGACATATAATGTACTAAGAAGTTAGAAAGTCAACATAATTTATTTTGTATTGATATTAAAACATATTTTGCATTATATGTATATATTTTATTGGGTTAATTGTCTAACTATTTTTTTAAAAATGTTAAAAACTTAAAAAAAAAACTTCAAAACTCACCACTGTCTACCGAATTTTTCAAATATTCAAAAAATTTGATATCTATTAGATTTTTCAAAGTATTCGATACACCTTATAGATTATCAGATGTTTTAAACACCTGGTATGCACCAGATATTTGAAAAAATTGGTATTTCTTCGTACAATTACCCGAAAACAATGTTTTTTATTTGAAATTTTTTGATATTTCTTCAAATATTCTCAAAAAAATCTAATATTTTTTTGCAGTATCCGATATTTTTTCATATAAACACAAAATCTAATACTATGTAAAAAAATCTAACACTTATCGGTACTTTTTAAGAAACTGAAATTATTACGCAAAGACATAACGGTAAAAACATTCCTCATGTGAGGGTGCTAAGTTAAATTTGAGAGATGGCAAAAAAAAATTCACTATATTCTTCCGTGTAAGTAAAAACTCGATAAAATATTTAAACTCTACCTAAAATTTAATTTGTTTCTAAAACATATTATTGTTATTTGTTGTTTTTATTTATTTCATCACTACTAACCATTACTGAATTATTAATAACATTATATTAAAGATATATTATATTTTTATGAACAAATATGAGTATAAAATTGTTTAAAATAAGTTAATGCCTATTGAAACTTATAAGTAATTAATATATTCTAAACTTCACAAAAACAAATAGGGAATAATTGTTTATAATAAATTAATTGATTAAAAAAATGTATGAATAGGCTATTTTTTTTTTTACAAAGAGAGACTCAATTCATATCATACTTAAATAAAGTTCAATACAAGTAGTCATCAAATGAAGAATCATACGCCTAGGTCAAAAATTGGTTGGTCTAGTTAAGCTGTGAGTAACTGAACTTGCTTGATATTTAATAAACTTATCCTCAAAGCTATTATGTAAATCTAAAAGATGTTTAATACTAAAAATAATTACACTAAATTCTGAATTATCAACATAGTTAGCACTAATAGCATGCACTACAATTTGCAAGTTACTTTCAAAGGTGATGCACTGCAATTGCATATGAATGACTCCTTGGATCGCTTCATTCAAGGCAAAGTCTCTGCTTCAGCAACAGAATAAAGCTCAAAGTCCCATGAAGTACATGTGATGATAAAACCCTAGAAGAATCTCTATAGCACCAGCCGTTGTTAGTTGTACCTAGTTGTTTATTGAATCTTGCATCCATATTGCACTTCACCCACCCAACTCTAGGTGACTGCCAAACATGCTGATGTTGGATCTGACAGTCGTCAAAACCACCCAATTCTTGATGATCTTGGGTCATAAATCAATCCTTCTAAGTATGATAACCTTGCATACTTAATTGATTAGCATCGTTCTTATCTTTATTCCAAATCCAATTACTCCTATTATTCCACATCACCCGTAACATAACTGCCACTTTACATGTCACCCTATTATCTTTCGTACAACAAATGTCTTGAATCACCATCCTCGCATCATTCATCTGATTAATCTGAGGCATGATAACTCCTAAATCTGCCATATTCCAACATTGAGACGTGAGCGCACAACCAAAAAACACATGTCATTCATCCTTCACTCCCCCGTCACATAAATGACAATTAGTCGAACAAGGAACATGTTGTTGGTGTAATATGGTTCTAGTAGGAAGCCAACCACGACAAATACACCATAGTAAATGTTTGGTTTTTGGCGGCGCTTTAGTTTTCCACATGCCCTATCAATCTCCTTCCACACATTTACCCCTATAATTGTGAAGGCCATGCATCCAAAGTTTATAACATGTTTTAACACTAGAAACACCATTTTGTTCCTCTTTCCAAACTAAACAATCATCCCTGACTTCCTCCAAAAGGGGTACCTGCATAATAACATTACCGACCTCAGGTGAAAATAATTGACCAATTTTATTGACATCCCAATGCTTATCGTTAGTAAGAATAAGATTTTTAACCGACATACTATACATGTGATACCTTTGTGGGGGCTCCCATCCAACCCTCACCTTCATTTCTCAATCAAGAATCTGTCATCACCTGAATTATACTCCCATCACCAATCCTCAATCTACACCCCAATAACTGGACCTCTCTAGCTTTCTAAGGACTTTTTCAGACGTAGCTCGGGTTACTCTCAAGATTCACTACCAAGAATGAGGAATTAGGGAAATATTTTGCTTTAAAGATTCTGGATACTAAGGTTTTTTGATTAGTCATAATATGTCACCCTTGCTTCCCCACAAAGCCCTGTTGAAAGGTTTAAAATCACGAAACCCCAATCCCCCATCATTTTTAGGATAAGTCAAACTCTCCAATGCAAACCATTTAATTCCCTTATTGTTATTACCTCCTCCTCACCAGAAAGTATTCAACATCCTTATAATTTCTAGCACCATGTTATTCTGTAATATAAACACACTCATAACACAAGTAGGGATAGTTTGAAGGATTGATTTAATCATGACCTCTTTTCCTGCCTTGGACAATAGTCGTCCCCTCCAATAATTAATTATCTTCCAAATACGGTCCTTGATGAAAGCAAAAGTTTCCTTCTTACTTCGTCCAACCATAAATGGTAAACCCATATAAGCATATGTTCCTATCACTTGTCTCACTCCCATAATGCGAGAAAGAACATTCTGAGCTTGTTTGCTTATATTACGACTGAAGAAGACCTCTGATTTGTTCATATTTATTTCTTGTCTAGAAGCTTCTGCATACAGTTTCAAAATATCGATAAGGTGTTTGACTTTAGATAGATTTGCCTTGTAAAAAAGAAAATAATTGTCACAAAAAAATAGATGGGACACGATAAATACCCCCTTATATATCTTGATTTCATGAATGTCTCCTTTATAAACTACTCTCTTGATGAGAGAGAAAAGACACCCTACTATAAGAATAGAGAGATATGGACTATTGATAAAATGAAGAAATTGTAAAACGATAGATGTATTTGAGTTAAATATATTTTTTGTCTCTATAAAATTATCAATTTTGTTTTTGGTCCCTACAAAAAAAATAGCATGTTTTATTCCTACGAAATTATTATGCACGTAATTTTAGTCTCTGCCATTAAATCAATATATATTTTTGAATGACTATTTTGCAGACATGTTTAAAACGTTATAAAAAATTGTTCGAAAAAAAAAATTCAAAATTTAATTTTTAAGTCGAAATTTTCGTTACTTTTATCATTATCTTTTGAAATTTGAAAAATCATATTTAATTTTTTTTATTTTAAAAAATTCTAAAATTTAGTAAAGAAACTTAGTATAATATTCTAAACATATATGAATAAAAATTATTTAAAAATTTAAAAGTTTAAGTATAATTAATCAATTTTTAAAATTTTAAAAAATAACACAACTAAAATTACATGTATAAAAATTTTGTTTTTAGAGACAATTTTTTATAATATCTATAAGAACCAAACATGTACTTAACCTATATAATTTTAACAATAAATAAATAAAAAACATGCATGGACCTTAGAGTTGACGAAAGTTGGACTCGCTCGCACCCTATTATTATTGACTCACATGCAATAAAAACTACTATATTATAATTTTTAAAGTTAATTTATATTTTACTATTATTAGTATAAAATAATTTTAATATCAAGTTGTTATAAAACAAATTCCAGGTACAGGTCAAATATCGTAATTATATTTATTTAGTTTTATCTTAAAAATTGATTGCAAGTAGAAGTCAAAAATATATTGTTGAAGGTAATTTTTTTTTTTTTTACTATTCATTAGTCAAACCTTGTTTTCACCAAAATAGAATTCAAGTTATATCCAAATGATTTATCTTTAGTGGAAGTTCTTTTCCCACTATAACCCAAATACTTTTAACTTGGGTAATCTTCATCTTTACGTACTCACATTTAACATCTACTCACAGATTTTATGTCGAACTATAAGTCAATTTTCTATAAATAAAAATATTAAATATTAAAAATATTCATGACTGGTCTAAGACTTTGTTTTAAAAAAAGGGCAAATGGATGCAACTTCCTTCAAATAAGTGATTTCTTCTTCAAATGTATAGTAATTTAATTGAAAACGAACAATGCTTTGTAAGAAAAACAAGATTTAGCAACAGACACTAGATAGTTGATTTCAAAGAAGATTAAAACGCATAAGTTGACAGATATCATTATTGTCAACATGAGTCGAACTACAAAACATGAAAAACGTTAATTATTACTACCTTTAGTTACAAGTTTACTACCTTAAACCTATTTTATAGGCACTAACCAACTAGTAACTAACATCTTATATCTCTAATAATAGGCATCAGTTTAACTTTGGTTCGAAAATCGAGTTCAACCAAAACAGGATCATATAGGAAAAGTAAGAAGTTTGCATTTACCTAGACTGTTAACAAATCTGAAGACTAATAGTTCTTCTCTTCTAATAACTGGAATTTGAGTCTTCTTGAGCTGCATAGAACTCGGCCATTTCCTCTCGTGTCATGCCTTTTATCAAATCAAATTCTTTACCCCATGTCAGCCTCTGCAAACCATCGATTTTTAAGTAGCTTGCATATGTTTGAAGATCAAGCAGAGTTTTAGTGTCAACATCGATGAATTTAGTATCCCAGTCCTTGAGATTAACATAGTCCTTGAGATTAACATACTTCTGTCGGATGTTGTGCTTCTTGCAGTATTCAATAACCGTTGTCAACATTTTGCTACTCACTTCATGAACAGAAATGGTATCAATGTCACCAACAGCAACAGGAATGGTCTCGATAATTTCCTCAAATCTTTTTGACATTAGTGCCAGACCAATATCAACTTCAAACACAACCCTGCCAGAGCTTACCAACTTGATTTTCTTTGATAAAACATCTGGACTGCGATTCATCATTTTCTCTTCCTGCAATTACTACTAACATCTTAGTCTAGTTTTTTTTAAATTGGATGCATTACATAATAATTGGGATACAGAAAATAATAAATGCCTAAAATAGTCATTTATATAAATCTATCACATACATTTATTTTCATCCCAATAGTGGTTTGTTTCCTTCTCAAGATTTAAAACTTCAAAACATGAAGATAATTATTTGACTTTTCAATTGGTTTTAGAATTAATAATTTAAAATACAAAAACATGATTGGTACTCGAAACGAACATTACACTAGAGTAAATATATAATGGTTATGAAAGCGTACAAAACTTTCAGAATTTGACCTAAATATAATTTTCCTAAAGACAGACAGGGTCAACCAAACATGTTTCAAAAGGAACTCGTGCTAGATAAAGCAATTTTAAATTTATCTTCAATTAAGAACTAAATTTTACTGAAATCACCTTTTCCTTGATTTTTCTTGTGCATTCCTTTAACTCTAAGTATAAATCCAATGTGTTAAGAGCAAATGTTTGATCAATATGCTCTCCTGCCCGTTCCCGATCAACCTGAATACCAAGAAACGGAGACAAAAAACTATTACAGGCAAAATTCAAAAGCATATAATAAAGATTAAAAGAAATGAATAATTGGGATTGAATATAGCACAGCATTATGAAGATAACTAAATTACCACCATTCAACTGAACTAACAAATACATTACTTGTTTATAAATTTATAAGTAACAAACATTTAGGAACGGGAATTAGAGAATACCATAGCAAATACAGCATCCATTATTTCTTTATTCATACCTTCGTATACCTGAGACAATTAAAATGAAGTAAACTCATGGTTAAAAGGAGGAAATGAAAAATAAATTGTAATAGAAAAACATCGCTGCAACTTTTCTTAAGAATCATCTCTGCAAATTTATAAGTACCAACCAGGTGATAAAAGGATAAGAAGCTGGTCTCTTCAAGAGAAGGAACTTTTAATCTTGGAATATCAAGTTTTTCAAGTGGGCAAAAAAATTTCGAGAGACGCCTGGTCATAGCTATGTAATTTGGCCATCTTTTGAGCAGTTCTCTCAACAAAAGGTCGTCTTTCTTTTCTCGCATAGATGGAAGAACCTATTAATAAGAAAATTGTATTAATTTTAATACATGTTACTGCAAACAACTAAGATTTAGTATTAGAAATTAGTTTAAAGTGGAATTAAAATATTCTTCAAAGACCATCGTATAATAATATTGAATTTTCTTTGTTGTACACAATTCATAAACCAGTCTAGATACCCACTTTAAAACCATATAAAATTGTATGTGAAAGTGAAATTTTCAGCAGATGAGATGAATTAGATTCACAATGCAAGTTACCTATGTAGCACTGATATTTCACATTGAATGTGTCTTAAATTTTTACCTGTCATAGCAGTGTACAAGTATACAAAGCTTATAAAGTTATAGAGGACGAAAATAAAGATGGACATTGAATTACATTTAAGGTTAGATATTATCAACCCAAAATTTCATGTCTGGTTCATGAATGGTTCATGAATATGATATGATAACCAAATGAAAGTGTTACTCACTTTTGATATGATGTATTCTTCACATGTTTCCTTGTACATGTCATATAGTTTTCGGGCATAGTCCTGAGGAGCCCTTTGGTAGCACATATTGTAGACAGTTCTGCAGCATTACAATTTAAGTGGAAAAACTAAAATAGATTAATATTTAGAGTATGTTTTGTTTAGCTTTTGAAAAAGCAATTCTAGAGGTGTAGAATTGAATGATTCCGAGGTGTTTGGTTTTTCTAAAGTAGAATCGACTCTACCGAATTTGTACCTTTTGAGTTTAAACGTTTGGTTAAACTCAATTTTGCATATAGAGTTATCCAAACACGCCTTTAACCAGAATCAATTCACTCAAAATCAATTTTTTTCACAGCAGAACCAAACATATTTGATTTGAAATAAAGGCAAAATGAATTAACAGCATCAACCCAAGAACAAAGAGTGCCAAAAACTGGTCACAATAATAAAAACCAACCGAAAACCCTAATTCAAGATACAGTAGCAGTGATTTATACGTACGTATATAGCATAATGTGGTGTTGAGGGGTGAAATTAGATTCAGGTAAAGCTTC